TCAATTCCACTATCCATAATACTTCCATTCTTTGAAAATAATGGAATAAATGCAACACTATCAGTACTATCAGACATTCTAATAAAAATGAATAAATTTGTTTGTGGTGGTTTAGGTAATTCTATCCTAATTTCTTTCATAATTGGAATTATTTTATCATTTCCTTTGAAAGAAAATACCATTTTTTTTTCTGGAATAATTGAATAATTTGGAATAAGTAAAGCATCAAGCGGTTCACTTCCAATAGATTGTTGTAATGATATTTCAATTGTACCTGTAATTTTTCGTTCACGTGATAATAATAAATCAATGATAGTTAAATATAATGAGTTAGTGATTGATGTCTCACTTCTAAATACATGAGATGGTGAAATATTTTGAACTCTAAATAATGACTGTTTCTTACTAGTTTTTATTTGACAAGTAACTGTAGATGGTGATTCATTATTATTAAATAATTTACTCCTAGTACTTCTCATTCGTTGATGTTTTTCAGCTCTTGGTGTAGCACTTTCTTGTGACTCACTATATAACTCTTTAATTTGTGTTGCTTCAATAATGTGAAACTCTGATAATGGTTTATTAATATCAGGTTTATTAATAAGATCCCAACACACACTCCATTTTCCATGGATTTCATTATTTGGAGGTGTTTTAATAAGTTTAAATATATCTGTCTCTTCTTCTATTTTAACTGAGAAGAATTTTAAATCAGTTAAATGTGTTTTTTGTGTTATAGATACAATACGAATTGAACCAATTGCAATTTGTTGTAAGGATACCATATTAATTGATTCATCTTCTTTCTTTTTAATTTTTTCTATTGCCTCTAATTGTCGTTTACTTTTTTTAGAATCATTTTCATCAATTCCTTCACTATACAATACTCCAATTAGATTATTCCCATCATCTTTTCTAAACACTTGAATAACTAAATAATATTCATTCTTTTCTATCTTTTCTAATTCAAATAAAAATAAATCTTTCCTTAATTCTCCATTTGTAATAAATGTGTAAACATTTTCTGTTTGTTTTTCTCGTGTTTTATAATTATATATTGATAATGAAATAATTAAAGGTTCAAATAATCCAATATTAAACGTAATACTTTCTATATTAACTGATATCATTTGTTTTAATACATGAGGTTGTTGAGCTATATAAGTATTCATACTATCATTTATTTGTAATGTTGGATTAAAACATTCAAATAAATGAATTGTTTTAAATTCAAATGGAATGGGTTGTGAGTATGTTGTTAAACGTTGTTTTCTTAGTTGAAAATCTGAACAAATTTCATCAAATTGAGAAGATGAGAAATACTCTTGTGGAATATTTTTACTAAATGATTTTCTTGGTTTAAGTAAATAACAGTTACTTCTTTCTAATGACTGAATAAACCTTTTTTGAAATCCAGTAATTCCTTTAATTTCAATTGGGCTATTTTGGACAATTGTCAATTTATATAGAAATAATGATGTATTGACATGTTGTTCAATTGAAAAAGGTTCTAATCGATTCTTTATTATTTCTTCTTTATTTGTTTCTAGTAACTTTTTAAATCCACAAAAATTCTTCAGACTGATATGACATGATTCTTCTCCCATTGTTCTTTCATGGACTAATTCTTTTATTGTCATGTCAGTTACATCAACACCAAATTCGTTTTTAATAAATTTTTTTATTTCAATTATATCAAGAAAACCACGTCTTTCAAGGTCATATTTCTATTGGTTAGCTTTTATTATTTTTATTTATGATTGTAATGATATATTATTTAATAAAACATACATTAAATTCTTGCTTCAAACGTACTGTTAGTTCTTCAAGATTTTTATTTTTTCGTTTATGTCCACCACTCTTTTCTTCGTTAATTTTATTGGATGATTTAATGTGTATCTGTTTCATCCTTAAACAAGATAAATTTAGTTCGATCTGAAAATCCTCATACTATCAGATATAATCTTTATTAATTATCCTTTTTTTTCGTCTCCTTTTTCTCTTTTTTTTTTGTTTATTTTCTTTATTTTTTATTTATTAAAATCTTATATTAATTATAAATTATTTAGAAATTATATTTATAAAAATGAATCTTCATAAAAATTTAAAAATTACTTATTTCTTACGAATAAGTTTGTTTTTTTTTCTAAAATAAATAATTAAACATAAAATCACAAAAAAATGAGTAAACAAAATGACTTTATGTGATGAAGCATTATTAGTATTCTTCATCTGGATAATAATGTTTATAGAGTTTCCATGTCTCTTCAACATCTAAACCTTCATCTTTATTTTCATCAAATTGTTCAAAATCAACTTTGAATTCATCAATTGTTTTTTTGAAACCATCATCCATATCTCTAAACATTTCATATGCATCATCAACACTAATAATATTTTTTCCCAATGCATAAGTCTTAAAAGTTCTTCTTACATCAGCTTTAGAAAGTCCAACCATCCTTTTAAGTAATTTAATGATTTTTCAGATTGATTCTTTGAAACTTAAATATAATGATACCTTCTACACTCTTCCTTACTATTTTTACAATTAATCTTTTTTTTTTTTTGGATTATTTTAATTTACAGTTTAGTTCTTCACAAAATTTAAAACTCTTACAAAATAGAATAACAAAAAGGGTTTATTGTTTTTGAAAAAGAAAAAATTAAAATTTGGAATTCTTTCAAATCAATCACATGCCAAAAGGAGGGAAAACAAAAGAGTCAAAATCAAAGCAAAATAAGAAAGAAAAAGAAATTAAGAAACCTAGTAAAGTTGCCCAAACACGTGATGAACTTAGAAAAGAAGCTCAACATATTGATCAAAATGTTAACGCATTAAAACAATTAGGATTAATTGGAAGTGGTGTTGTAGAACCATCTACCGACTTAAAATTATTAACAAAAAGAGAAAAAAAGAAGTTACAACAAAAAGCAAAGAGAAATAGAGGAACAAAGTTAGACTAAAGAAAAGAATTTGATTGCTTGATTTCATATTTTTGTTATTCTGGTTTTTGAAACAGGGTTTTTTAGGGTTGAAAAATTGAAATGAAAACTTTATTCGAATTTTTAATATATTTAATAAATGAATGTTAAGACTGAAAGAAAAGATGAGTCAACTAGTAGTAGTGATGACGAATTAGTTGATACTCAATACGACCCAAGTGACGTTACTCAGTACGATTTAGCAATAAGGTGGATTAGTTCTGAAGAATTTAATCAAGAAACATTAACAAAAATACAAAAGATTTTATGTGAGGCATTAGAAGAAAGAATAGATTCTGTTAATATTATTACTGACTTATCACTCTTTCATTCAATTAACACTAAATCAAATGACATTGTTTTGGTTTTCAAATTTACTGAATCAACTTGTTTTAAACAACTTATTTTAGGTCCAGCTCCTACTGACGTTGAGGCTGTTGATAAGTTTAAATATTATTGGGGCGAGTCTTGTGAGTTAAGAAGATTTAGAGATGGAAGACTATTATACGTTGTTTCTTCTGATCGTTTGTGGACTGAAACTTATTCTTGTAATGAATATTTTATTAAATTACTCCTAACAAAACATTTTAATGTAAATGAAAATCAACTTGTTTCAAATTTAACTAGTATTACTACTGTACTCCCTCCATTTAATCAATGTCTTGAAGTTATTGAATGTATTAGTGAATTATCAAATTTAATTAAAGACTTACAATTACCATTATCAGTTAATACAGTTAAGTCGTTTGGAAGTTATACTCGTTATACTTCATATTCAATTCCTCAACGAATAAAGGATTATAACAAAATCCATCAACACATGTACATTGATTCTATTCCTTTAATCATTAAATTTGAAGATTCAAATAAATGGCCAGATGAGCTTCATGGTATTAAATTAATGAAATCAGCTTTTAGTATTAAGATCAAAGAGTTATTAAGGGCACAAAGCATTCTTGGAAAAGTATTTTCAAATAGATTTGAATTATATTTTAAAGGATATATATTTAACATTTTATTCGATGTTCCACAAGAACTTGCTTTATTAAGAATGGGTAGTGGAGATGGTGTAGAAGATTATATAAATAAATATCAAAGAATTCCACTTACATCTATTTGGATGAGTCAATACCCAGGTAAATATCCTGCACTAACTCAAAGTTCTCGTCTCTTAAAAAAATGGTTCAATTCTCGAATGTTTTCAAATTACTTTAATGATGATTTGATTGATGCCATGACAATTCATTTTTTCCTAAATGAACCAATTCATTCTCCTCAGAAATTCTTCTTAACCTTTATTGAAACTCTTGCTACTAATGACTCTTATCCAATTTATTTTGGTGATAATTTTGATGTCGAATCTTCTCGTGGTATGGTCTTCAACTTTGAAGATCAACCAGAAGTGTCTAAATATTTAAATTCTATCACACCATCTGTCAGGGTAGTTAAATATCTTTGTGGAGTTGCTAAACAATGTTGGAAATTATTAGATTCTAATTTCTGTCTAAAAACTGGAGTTAAGTTTAATAAGGCATTATTTTCTGCTCATTTACCAAAGGGAGGAGTACAAATCATTTTAGATAAGTTATTATTGACTAAACAAAATGTTAATTATAATGAGGCACGCACCTCAAATACACTCAGTTTATTAATGAAAGAAGTTGCTGTTGTTGATTTTGATCCATTAAAACTTTTCACAAATGAGTTAAATAGGTATTTTGGAACTGACATTTTACTCTTTGTTGATCTCTTAGAAGGTAGTACTATTGTTTTAATGTTTAACCCATCAACTGCACTTGGTAAGCTTGTTACTGAAAAGAACGAATCTTGCGAATTGAGCACGTTACTTCCAAAAGAGAGTGTTATGACTTATGGAGAATTAAAAAAAGTAATCAAATTGATGGGAGGGTCTTTGGTAAAAGACGTAACAATACTTTAAATGATTTGATTGGTTATTTAAATTTTATTTTTTTGTTCCAATAAACTATATGGCAATATTATAAATTAGATAATAAAAAATTAATTAATTATGTATTAATAGAATGGTTTCTGTTTTTAATACTCAAGAAAGATTAATCTACCATGGGTTTTTTTCTAATAGTTCTATCGAGTATATTCTATTATGGCAGAAGCAATGTTCCATGACATCTATCATATTTTTTATTATAAGGTTTTTAACTTCTTTTATCGTGTTTATTTCAGTTTTGAATTCTTTAATTAATTTAATACCTTATGCTTTTATTAATCAATTTATTGAAAATTACTACTGCAATTATTTTAACATCTCTTGTTTTCTCTATTTTCTTTATTCTTTTTTTATTTCATTGTACATAGTTCTTTTCTTCAAGTACCCTCCAATTAATATCGTGATATATAACACAATTATATCAATTAACAGGTTTGTTTTTCTTTTTTATCTACCACGTATATATCTGGTCTTTTATGATATTGTCAATAAATTCAATATTATAGTGATATTTTTATATTGGAACACTGTTTCATACAAGGGATTTTTTTTGTGATGATGATAATTCATAAATAATTATATAAAATAATAAAATAAGAGAATATAAAGAATAATATAATAATAAAATAAGATATAATCATTTTTATTCTTATTATTTATTATATTTGATTTTATCATTTTATATTTGTTTATATTTTTGTTTATATTTTATTATTATTATTTATTGTTGATTATCTTATATCATTTATTTATTATATGTTGTATTGATATTTAACAATATTAATATGAAATGAATAATAATGAATAAATATAAAATAAGAATAAAATGATATAAGAATATAACATAAATAATAAAATAAGAAATATATAATAGATATAAAGATAAAAGAAGAAGAATAAAATAAATAAATATAAAATAATATAAATAAAATAAAAAATAAATAAAAAAGAATCAAATAAATATTTTATTATATTTTTATTTATCTTTTATTCTTATTTCTTTTGATTATTTATTAAATTAACACAACGAATATGATTATTTCAAATGAAATAAAATAAAACAAGAATGAAATATGAACATTTTTATATTCATCATTTCATTTATTGATAGATGAAATATTCATATTTATTTATTGATTTTATTTTATATTCTTTTTTAATTTTTATATTTCAAATAAATAATAATGAATAAAAATCATTTCATTTCAATTACAATGATTCGTTCTGGTGTGAAACAATAATCGGGATATTGTTTTCCACAAAATGCATATGATGTTCCTTTATATTCATATGAATCTTGAATATAATGTGAATATGTTTTATTATTTTCTTTAAAAATAAAAATATCATCATAATGTCCAAATTTAAACAAACAATCATCTGATTGATTGTATAATTTAAATGCGTGTTGTGGTTCATTAATATCAAATTTCATCATTCCTTTTATTCTCCCATTTGATTCTAATGAAAATAAAAATGATTTTGGATCATTTATATAATTATCAACTTTATCAATTTTTTCATTAACATATCCTCCAAATTTATTTCCATTTGTATCTTCAATAATAATTATTATATGTTCTTTATTTATTATTCTTTGATCAAATACGGATGTATTCTTATTCCAATTATCATTATCTGAATCAAATAGGATATTTCCTACTTCTCTTGACGTCCATTTTTCTATTTGTTTCATTTCTTTAATTGTCTTCTTTGTTATAGTTTTTATTATTTCTTTTTCTAATCTCTTTTTTTCTTCTTTTTTTCTCTTTCTCTCTTCGTATTCTTTTCTCTTTCTCATTCTCTTTTCTTCTTTCTTTTGTCTTTCTTTTTCTTCTTTTCTCATCTTCCTCTCTAAATAATCACTATATTGTGTAAACCATTCTTCTTTATTTTTATTAAATTTTGTTTTAATATTGTTAATTTCTTCTCCTAATTTCTTAATTTTATCTTCTTTATTCATTTCTTCCATGTGAATGATTTTATCTATTAGTTCATTCTTAGCTTTATTTATTGTTTCTTCATCATCATTACATTCTTCTACTATCTTTTCCATTTTATTCTTAATTGTTTCTATTTTATTTATTGTTTCTTGACTTTTTTCTATTACTATTCTTCTTCTTCTAACCACTTCATCCATCCTATCAAATATTCCCTCTCCTCTTTTAATAGCTTCTGAATATGTTTCATCTGCTTTTATTTCAAATATTTTATTTTTAATACTTCCTAAATAATATTGATATTGTTTATTAATATCATCAATTGATTGTTGAATATTTGGAAGTGTTTCCACTACTTCTTTAATTAATTGATTATTCATCACTTCTTCCATTTTAATTTAATGAACATCAGACTAAAATAAGATGATTAAATAACTAAATACTCATTTATAACTTTTCATTATTTTATCATTTATTATTTTATTCATTAAACAGAAATAGATCCTTTTATCAATGCAGAATATACAACAAATTTTGTTGCCATGGCTATTGAGTAATACCATAGGGTCTTGTAAAGAAAAACAAACAAGATACAGGTATTCAAGTTCAAAGAAAAGAAAGGACTTCAATAGCAATAAAATGCATAATAATTATGATAAAAGAAATAACAAGAGAAAAGGGTTTAGAAAAAGAAGAACACAAAGAAAAACAAATAGAAAACAAGGCAAATATAATGATAATAAACATTATACAAACAAGAAACCTAAATGGTTGACAACAAAAGAAATTCAAAAGAAAATTAAAAGAATAACAAGAAAATGGGAGAAAGGAAAATATTCAGAAATACTTAAAAAGTATGAAGGTAAAGAAAAGAAATTGTATAATATTCTCCAAGAAGTATATTCAATAAGAAAGAAGAAAACACTGGAGAAAATCAAAGAAGAATTCAAAGATAAAACAAAAGATTGGAAAAGTGAAGATATTAAAACAATCGAAGAAGAAATCAAAAACAAAAACCCAATCAAAGAAATGAACGATAGATGTAAAACTGCAAGAATAATAAATGAAAAAGAAAATAAAGAAAAAACACAAGATAAAGAAGAGAAAATGGAAGAAGAAGGCAACAAAGAAGAAATTAACACACTTCAAAATAAAATTAAAGAATTAGAAGAAACTATCAAAGAACTTCAAACAAAAAAGATGGAAGAAGAACGAACCATTTCAGATGAAATGATTCAAAAAGCACGAGAAACAGTCAGGAAAGAGTTTGAAGAAGAAATAGAAAAGATGAAAACACAAATGAACAATATTCAAACTACATGTAATGAAATAAGAAAACTCTAAATTAAAATAATAAAATAATACATTACAAGGAAAAATAAATGAAGCAAATGGTAGAAGGGTCATAGAAGTAGGAGGTAAGGATGAAACCATCCTCACACTCCGAGCTAGCTATGAGAGGCTGAAGAAGGAGAAGGACGATGTCCTTAAGGCTGATGAGCTGGAGAAGAGTGCTAAGCTGGAGAAGAAGAGGGCTGATGAGCTGGAGAAGAGTGCTGAGCTGCTAGAGAAGAACATAAGAGATAAAGAAAATCAAATCTCTGTATATCAAAAAAGTGCGATTCAAAACTATGAGATTGCAGAAAAAACAAAAGAAGAATTAGACCATACACAAAGAGAAAATGAAGAACAAAAACAATTAATATCAAAACAACAAGAAAATATCGAAAATTTTTTATCCCAGAAGGAACTGGAGAAGAAGAAAACAATGACACTAGTGATAAATACACAACAAATAATGAGAACATCATCATCATGGAAAATACAAATGAACAAAACTACAACTATGAAAAAGACAATTGTGGAAATAGAAGAAGAAGAGAGCAAAACACTGAGTATCAAAAAACAAGAAATAATAATCAGTCAAGAAGAAAAGAAAACACAACAAATCAAACAAATAGAATTTTAATTGATATGTTGTATTGTTTTGCAATTAATTGGTTAAATAAGAAATTAAATAAGAAATTAAGAAATGAACAAATAAAAAGCATAATAAAAATAATAAACATTAATGTAAATAATGATAAAGAATACATTAATAATATTAAAAAGTCACATAGAATAAAATAAATAACTAAGATATATATTAAAATGAAAGTAAACCATCATAGAAAGGAAAGTAGAGTGTAATCCAATAATAAAAAATATTATCATAAAAAATAACATTATTGATACTGATGATGAATATCTTAACTCTATCATCATTCAAGTTAAAGAAATGGAAATAGATAAATGTGTAAATATTAATTACTACTGGAAAATGAAAGAATCAGATAAATTAATAAGAGAAATAAATAATAAATGGGTATGGTCAGGAGAATAGAAAATCTACAAGAAGATATGAAAATGATTTCAATGTGTATGTATTATTATCTCTAAAATAAATTTAAATGAGATAAATTTGATGAAGTAAAAGAAATCCTAAGGAAAATAAATAGATTAGAATATCTAATCAATGGAATGGTACAGAATAAAATGCATCATGAGATTAAATGAACAAGATGCAGATGAAATTAAAATTAAATCACAAGAATGAATAAAGTACATAAAATATATGATGAGTATGATTAAAGAAAGAATTAAATTTAATAAGAATGAAATTGTCAGAATCAATACAAATAAAATCATGTTTGATTCTAATAACAAAATTAAAATAAAAAAGAAACACAAGATGAAATATACCCAAATAACGATATTACTTTAGAATATTTGAAATCGTTATATGAAACACAGGTGATATTAAATAAAGAACATTTGAAAATAAAACAAATCACCTCGTGGAATGAAAGGTACAGAAATTATGATAGTGTCATCATCACAACGGATGAACTAAATCTAAGCCTGATGAAAATAAGTAATTGGAAAGCACCAGGCATTGACACTATATATGGGTATTATTGGAAGAGAATGTCATCATCAAGAGATTCCATTCTTAATATATTCAATGAATTGTTAAACTTCAATGAAAACATC